AGTTACCACCACTTCTCACTGTACAGTTCCTCTCATTCAGCCACTGAATTTTTGCAATTCTATGTAGTCATCACCAGCCCCTGGCACTTAAATGTGCATTGCAATTAACAGAAATTGATTGAAAACTTTCCCTCTTGAGATTTACCACTGTTAGCCTTAAAATAGAGAAAACAGAAAATTATTCAGCTACTTAATGATTTCACGTGAAAATGAAAGTCCCTTCTGTCCTAGTAGCTGAATTTTGGAAGAGCTGTTAACATCTGTGGAAGGGCTTTACCTCTCAGCTTGGACAGATTTAAACCATCAGTATATTTGTTCTTCAAAGTCTGCCTTTCTCACTTTGTTCTCAGAGTTCATTAGTGTCTCCTTGGCCATTTTTCCCCCTCAGCACTTATTTGCTTCTCTTCTCCTCACAGCTGACCTGCCATGATGCCCATGCAAGCCAGTATATAAGAGTTCCCTCTGCTCCCCATTTTATCACCGTGACCCAAAGAAAAATCCAATGATTTGAGCACTCTTCAAAACCTCAGTTCTCCTTACAGTTTGTCAGCCACCACTGACAAAGAAATACCACTATGTAATTTATCTACTTCCATCTCTGTTTAGAAAATTTACTCCCATTCTACATCAGTAGCCAACTGCTGTCTCTGTACCTGTGGTGAGGTATTAAATAGCCAACAACAGCCTGGAGGAGATGGAGCAATGGCTTGCTCAGTGACTTGGCTAGACTGAAGACAAGGATGCAGTGCAAGGAGCCTCATGTCTGCAGGGCCCTCTGCTATCCTGTACAAGGGGAACAGTAGAAGAGCAATACAGCTGGAGAAAAACTAGGTCCTAGCCTCAGGTACCCTGTAACTTTGGGTCAGCCACTTCATCACCTTTAACAGCTGCTTTCTGGCACATCAAAGCAGCAAGAATATGTTTCAGAAATGCAGCAAGCTTAAATCTACCCACAGAGTGTGGAATAGACTCAGGGAGAATAAAATGCAGTGGCTTCAAACAGTTAAAGGGGTTAGGCTTGAAGATATTGGATCAAATTTTATCATGTCAGGAAAAATCCACCTACATGCCCAGAGAGCAAAATATCTCGCCCAGGACTTGCAAGAGATTGCACATCCTTGCCTTTTCCACACAGTTCAGGCAGGATTTAGTCTGTGCATGCACAGAGGCTTCGGAGCTGCCTGCCCAGCACTCAGACAGTGGCTCCCAGTTAATTACCCATTCTCTGCTCTCCACCTGGGTTAGCTGCAATTGGAAAGCTGTCTTTTCATTCCCATCTATCACAAGTCTCCAAAAACTGGGACAAATGTTGGAAGGATTAAATCAAATTTAACAGGGGGGAAAAAAAGGGGTCAGATGTGGGAGGTAGCAGAGGGACGAGAAGAGATACCCATCCTCAGTGGAGCCAGGATGCAAAAGGAGTGAGCAGGTGTCTCCCAACCATTTACTCTGCTACCACATTCTGCGGGGGGCCCAGTACCAAGCTTTTCATGCTGGAGTGATGCTGGCAGCGTGCAGCCCTTGTGGAGACAAAGGGAAGCCTGATCAGCTCTGTGCCAAGACGGCAGCGCCACATTGGGGTGCCCTGGAAACCCGCCCCAGCTGCAGTCACTCTGCCTTCGTTGGCAGGCAGCACCATGGCACCAAGTGCCACTCCTGGCCATTGTACAGGCTCACACAGACTAATCCTCTCAGAGGTTATCCTAATGAATTGGCAGCTACTGGATTAGATGGGCTGCAGGCAGGCTGCAGCTTAAACCTGACTGAAATTTCTCCTTCTATCTCTGTTTCTAAGCATCAGATTCAGTTTCCAACTATCAAACAATTTTCCCTCCTTTTTATCATTGGCTCTGTTGCAGACCCATTGACTTGAACAACATTTTTGTTTGACAAACTACAAAATTTGATTAGATCTTTTTAAGACTCAGTGTCACTTTTAGGGTATTAGCTCTAAGAGTTTCATTGCCAGGCAGACAATAACACGTATTTTTCAAGCTGCAAGGACTAGAGTCCAGGGATTATATAACTGGGAAAATAAAATGCAACCCACATCTAATGGCTCAGAAAGCAAATGTAAGAAAACAGAGATTATTTGTCGAGTCTTAATTTTTAAGCCTATTTCAGGACCTTCTAAACATTGAGGGCTGAACAATTTGTATCACTGCCAATTCCTTAAAACAAAATTTGTCCCCTCTGCTGTTTCAATTATGCAAACTGCACTGTATCTACAATGTTTACACTTTCAATAAAAAATCTTAATATCTAGCCAGACATGCAAGCAACTTATCTCCCTGTGCTTTCTTTGAGCATTTATCACAAAAGGTTATTATTTCCATGGGACTGTGCAATTAGACTTCACCTTTTATTGACCTCTGTCATACTTTGAATTAGCCATTATCTATGTTGTTACTAAATAGCTGCTTTTGAGTCTCATTTCATTTGCAGCTTCAGAGAATGGCTAATTAATCTAATTTGATGGAGTTAAATCTTGCTTGTACCAGCAGAAAAGAAGAACTGGGACTTCTGTTTTCCAGCCTCTCCAGCAGGCACAGACAGGTCTGATCTTCTCTGAATCCATGGAAGTCAGTCACCTATAGAGAACTTCAGACAGGTAATGTGAGCCAGCTTCTCAGCTGACATCTGGTGAAATCAGTAAATCAAAACTGATTGCTGCAGTTAGGCAACATCAGAGCATCTCACCCATAAGGGTAAGAGAAAGCCATGGAACAGCAAGAGTCTGAGAAAGCCTTTAGAAGCCAACAGAATATGTGGCGTTAGAATACAAGAATAGTGCTAATGGCTCTTTTTTTCTTCCTGTTCCCCTTTTGCTCCAAAATGATACTTCTACTGAGTTTTTCCTCTAGATTTCACAGTTTCAGTCTTCTGTGTAACTGGAGCTAATACGTTTTCTTCAACTAACAATAATTCCCTAGCCATTTTATTGGTTTAAGACTCAGCTCAAGGACAGAAACAGGGCTTGCCATTCAAATTAATATGAATGTATTAATAGGGATTAATACATTCATATAGGGAGTGTTGTTCTGGGGATGTTTTGTAATCTAATGCCAAATTTGGATTTAAATTCTGGGGACAAATTTACTGCTCGTGATCTGACCTAGATGGTCCAAGATTGGTTGTATTTCAGAGATACAGGCCTATATATTCCATGCAAATATTAGTGTAAATAGATCAAATATTCCAGCATAAAAAGAAAAATTTTAAAACCCCCAAATCCTAAAGAAAAAACTAATCTAGAAGAAAAGCAGACAAATAGCTAGAGAAGAGGGCTACTGACAGACATGTTCAAAGTGCAGTTTTGGATTTTCACTTAAAAATTTTACACAAGGAATCTCTTTCTCATGATAGCTAAGCACATTTACCTCTGTACAGCATGGCACACTTGGTAAAGTAGTGTAATGCTTCTCTTCCTTCCTCTGAACCTCACATTTTCCACATCCTCAGCAGCACAAATCTTAAAGCACAAAAGCTTCAAATAAAGCGAAGGTCTGTGGAAGAGCACAGAGTGAAACAAGTGCCTCCACAGGCAACAGTTTGGAAACCAGTGCAGGTGAAATCTGTGCAATACAGGAAACCAGTGCAGTACAGGATGAAATCTACTCTGTTTATGTGCAAAAAAACACCCAAAAACCTCACAAAAACTGATCCAAAATGCTATACATGAAATTCACTGAGATACAGGTGGTTTAAATGAAAGTTTGATTAAAGACTCACATATATTTTACTTGATCCACTTTCATCCCATCCACGGTAATTTGATTTTCATATTTAACAGCAATAAGACATTCTTCCCTTTAAATTAAAATATTGTCTATTTCCCCTTCAAGAATATTTCATCTTCTAAGGCTACAGTGATTCTGAAAAGTTCACATTAAGTATGAATCTGTTGCAGAAAATTCAAAATTACCTACTAGGAGAACCAAGCTTGTGAATAACACATGTAACTTCAGTCTACCCATATCACTCCACACACATAGTGTGTTTAGAGGTTGGCTGATGAAACTCATTTAACTAAGATGGTCTCCTTTCGCATTCTATCTCTGCTTACTATTCATGGCCTGCTTGGGCAATACTCTCTTAAAATCCTGTTTTAAAGCCCCTGCTTTGTGAGATGACATTTTAAAGCAGTCAGTGCTCATCTCCAGACTTTTTCTATTAAAAAACTGTGTCTGTTCTGAAGAGATAAAGCAAGAATACAGACAGTCTCAAAACCCCTTGTAAGGGAGCAGAGGTTCAATGCTAATGTTTCTCTTCTCTTTGCTTCTTCATTAAGTACTTTCTTAATTAAAAGCCCTTTTTTATTTGTTTTGTTTTTGTTTGACAGAAGGAAAGCATTTGATCTACTAAACCCTTTACACCTGGTCAGATATGAATGCCTCTCATCCTCCATCACCACGGACTACCTGCAATCCTCCTCAATCACTGGTTCTGCCTTGGAACCCATAGGGATTTTGCACAGCCTGAATATATATTAGTTCATGCAGTCGTTTCCTCCCCCCCCCTCTCTGCCCACACTTTGTCAGAAGATGTCTGTTGACTTGCATTGATGAGGATATTAACAGCCCTGGGGAAAATTTTTTCCAAGGTGACACTTGACATGCTCAGTGCCACAGTCTAAGCACAGCTGGGCAACTGCTGCCGAAACATGAATACTCATGATAGATGAGTTTATTTAAAAGCTGTATCTGTTACTGATGACTAGCTTAAAACACCTGCCTCACCAGCACCACAAGAGAGCTGCCAGGCCAGTGAAACACCAACCATCACTCATCAACAAGATATGAAACTTGGCTAATAGTTAACTTTCTGACCTATTACTCTGCTCTTTCTGTTTATGTGCCAAAGTATGAAAGATGAGGGGGGCACATTTAAGTCACCTGATGGCAAACATATGCCAAGATTTACTTGCACTTCTTGATGTTATTGTTATTCCCCTTGAATGCAAAAAGTTACATGAAGAATAAAAGAAAACCAGAGCTCACTTGCACACTGACTTTGCTGAGCACTTCTGCAGACACAGCCTTCTTTTACAAGAGTCCTCCGTCATACAAAACTTCATTCATTCAGCAGCTAAACATCAGTGCTGATTGTGCATCAGGCGCTAGGCTGGCATGTTGAAAGGTGATTCATTCCTCTTAGCATGGCTCTAGAAGTGCCTGTCTCTCCCCCTACTTAATATAGAAGCACTTAGGTCAGCAAACTTGTGAATGGTTAAAGATAGCAAAGCCGAACACCTCCCTCAGCTCTGCAGCTTAGAACAGCCACGGATACAAAACAGTTGTGTAAAAACCAGTGGTGCTCTCCAGGAAATTCGTGAGACTTTGGGTCTCACAGCCAGAACCACTTTGCCCACCCACTTTACTAAGTGAAAGTAAGAAGGACAATTAAAGGAGCATCAGTACCTGGCAGGAGCAAAAGCACAGCAGCCAAAACATGAGCAGCTCCAAGAGGAAGCATCCAGACTGCTTGGGGAGAGCAGGAGCTTTGGAAGCTGAATGGCCACCAGAGCAACCTGCATGGCAAACACTCCTCTCTGCTGTACCTGTGTGCTGCAAGCTGATGGATATCTCCCATCCATGGCAATAGGATTCAACTCCCCACTCCAAATGCAGAAAATTAATTAGAACTAGGTCATGTGGCAAGACATCAGCCCCTACTTGGCAAAATTTTCTTGAAACTTCAAGCAATCTCTAAAATTATTGCCTCACACTCTTAAGGGAGAAACACTCCCAATGACAGGAGTAATGAAAAAAACCAAGAATTTTTGTTGAGTTTTTCCTCCCAAAACAGAGGAAATTCTGGATAAAAAGCAGGTAGTAACAGTCATTTAATAAAATGAGTCCATAAAAAAAAAAAAAGCACACAGCTTCTTTAGCATGTAGTGTGCACTGTAGGTAAGTTTAGAATGTTCAACCTTTTTTTTTTAACTCTGAGAAATATGAAAGAAATTTCAATGGTGTACAGGAAAAGCCTAAGTATGGGGTTTTCCTTTAGATGTACCTCTAAAATAAGCACAAAAATAAAACATTGAAAATGGCTGCATTGTTAATTTATCAGCTAAAAGGAAGACTTACACAGAGACGGACAATATCACCTGAACAAGATCCAAATGCTGATCCTCACAGAGAAGAAACTTTTAGTTCAATACTTAAAATCTGGGAAAATAGATTCTGCCTTCATATGTACAATACTCACTATAATGCATAAAATCAAAAGGGATGGTGAATTTGACCATAGTATATGGAAACCGTGAGTGCTTATCCCTTCTGAAAGAAAGGATTTTAAAACATAGAGTAATTCCAAAATAAAGTTTAACAAACATGAAGTAATAGCTTAAAAATTATTCTAAAAATAATTTCCCTATTATTTTAAGAAGAACAATGTCCCAAAGAATTTTTGGTCAGTTGGTTAGTTAGTTTTTGGACAGTTATTTCCAGACTTATTTTATAGGTGTTTGCAAGAACTGTGTACCTGCTGTTGCTGTTGCCCTGTGGACCTGTGGCCCACCTCACATTCCTTCTTTAAAAGATGCTTTAACATAGATAATTTTTATTGATAATTTAAAAAGTAGTTTGATGCACTAAAATGTTTCCATTACAGTACTACTGAGATGAACCTTTTCTTTCCTGTTCACAAGGCATTTTAGCCTCCTGTCATTCATCAAGTTTTCCAAGCTCTAATTGCTTTTAATTTTCACTCTTATTAGATTGAAAACTGCAGAATTCACTATTTAATCAGTGAAAAAAAAAATCTCTCCTAATTGTATATTATAAATATAATTTCTTTCCCCAAAATTATATTTTACAGAGTCTGATTTACTCTTAAGACCCCAAATTATTCTTTCCATTCTAAATATCAACTATAATTCAATACAGGAATTCAATAGCTGTGTATATTTTTAAGCATCAAACTTAAATTCTTTTTTGTATTAATTTCAAAATCAAAACTAGATGTTTCTCTCTTTTTCATTCCTTCACCCCTCTTTAGGTCCCTCTAAGAATGCCAGCCTATCTTTATGAATCTTCTAGATGGACAATAGGAATATGCAAACAGCACAGCTGGTGTCTGAGGACCACTGACACACTATATATTTCCTCAGCTCATGGTACATTTTCATACCACCACACCCCTGACAGATTAGGCAGCAGCAGGCAAGCTCTGAGAGGTGAGAGCTGCTATCTTTTTGCTCCCTGATTTTAAAATTATTTATAATTTATAACCAAAATTATAATTCAAGCTGTCAAAAGCAAGATCTTCTCAAGACATTTCAGTCTTGAAAATATTTATTTATAATTTTGTATAAAATGCCCAATTATTAGTACCAGGTTTTTCTTTCCACAGAAAAATCTACATTGTGCATGACCAGTACCAGCATTTAATAAATTAATCTGGGACCTGCTTTTAAGAAAACCAAGAAGAAAAAGGCACCTGATTTCAACAGTACAAGGTACAGTCCCCAAACCCCTAAATCAAATAACCTGGATATAAATGTAACCTCTGCCCCGAGTTCTTGTGAGTGAGAGTTCTTGTGGATTATTGGCTTACCCATGTTGTAACACACTTATGAAACACAGTATTTATTTAAATGGTAGTTATGCAGCTGAATATATTGGTTACACAACTTCAGAATCAATACTTGAAGAGTTATTTTATTTATCCCAGTCTATCTATATTTTGTCATCTTTATGCTAAGCAGCAGGTAATGCTAGTTAAATTAATAGAAAATTCGATCAAGCCTATCAAACTGAAAAAGTTATGATCTAACTTTCCTAAGTCACCATTCTTCCATATATCATAAACCCTACTTTCCCTAAAAAAAAACTCAACAAAAACAAACAAAACAAAACAAAAAACCCGCAAAAACGAAACACCTAACCAAAACAGCTATTAAACAAATTCAACCAAATCTTTTCTATTATTAATCTGCTTATTGAATTTTGTCTCTTTTATCGCATAATCCCACTAAACTGATCAAAACTTTCAAAGAATATATCAGCAGATTAAAACTACTTAACATCTGTGAATTGTCTTTTATCAGTCACTGCTTGTTCCCCTTTCTCTCCTATGTTTGCCCAATACTAATAATTTAATCAGGAAGACAACATATTTAGAGGAAAAGGAAGGATATGTGTCTCCACAGTGTCTAATTAAATTAAACTAAACACTCATTCTTTTTGAAATTTTCTGCAACATTTGCAATGAAATGTGTTCTTTTGCTCAGCATTTCTTTTTCATAAATCTCTAGTAAACACTTTCTCAGACTTGATTCATCGAAGACGTGGAATGATAAATCATTAATACTATCACTAATACTAGTGTTACTTTCACTGTCTTGATGGATGTGACTGAATATCAAAGCAATTTCAGAACCTACCTCAAATCTCCAAGTCTTGAGTTTGTGAAAGCAGCTGCTGTGGAGAACTTGGATTCTTTGAATCCTAAAAGAATAGGAGCACAGAATAAAATAAAAGCAAAATACTAACAAAGGTTTTAAAATAGCTGGGGAGAAAGTAAAAGGCAGTAATACATAAAGACAAAGTATTTTATATTTTTTCCAGACTGTTCTACTCATCATTACCGGTAGCCCCTTAAAAACACTTAAATAAAGAGTTTCTGATATCTGCTTTCTTTGTACACCACCAGAGTTAGAGGAGAACTGCTATTAATGAATATGAGACCTCAGAATTAACCTAATCAGATTGGAAAATATCTTAGTTCATTATTAAAATCTCAAGTGACAAAGAGGAGGTTTAGTAAAATTATGCTTAATCGAAAAGCAAAAGTATATCATAAAAACTAGGAAACTTTAAAGCTAATCTTCATTTTAAGTACAATAGTGGGATTTTTGTAGTATGTTTAGCCAATCAGAATAGTCCTAATACTGCAATAAAAATATAGTTGAGCACAATTCCCTGCAACACCAAGAGTCTGTGAGTATGATAATAAAACAGATTCCTACTAATATGTAAATACAGAAGAAATAATAAAATCCAAAACTGGAATTTACATCTTTATCAGAATTAATATTTCAAAGAGATTTTAAGTCTTTAATAGAGTAAGAACCAAGACATCGGTATTTCCACATCTGAAAAGTCATAGTCTGATTTGGGATTTTAATTTCTTCAGTTTCACTGCCAATTAAAAACTTCTAGAGATTTCAAAAATTATTTAGAGGTGAGAAGAAGAGGTAGCACGACCAGCACATATGTTGCTTTTAGCTCCAAGGCCATCCACAGCTGTCAAAAACATCCTAGAAGGAACTAACATGGATAATATATGGAATGGAGTGGTCACACCGGTAGCTGCTAACAGTGCCAACTCACTCATTTGTTCCCATGGGCTGAGCAGCCAAGTCAAACTGAAAATACCCCCCAAACACAAGTTAAGAGATTATTCACCCAGGGAAGAGTTAGAAGGGATTTAGATACACGCAGAAAGGGCCAGCAGCACCCAAGTCATTGACCCAGACGTGCCTATGTGTTTGCTATGTGAGGTGCAGCCTGAGCGATCTGAAGTAGTTTCAGTTTAAGAGCAGAGCCTAACAAAGACAAGAGACTAGCATCTGGCAAGTTAGGAGCAGAAACCAAGTGCAATGGGACTTTTCCTCCAACCACTGCAGGCAAGTGAATGTCAGCAGAGTGCACAGCAGTCGCCTCAAGCTCTTGCATTCAACCCTATTGTGCTGAAATGTCAAACAGGATCTTTGCCACTGGCATAAACATTTTAGAGAAGCTTCAGGGAATATGCTACAGTGTTTACATCTTTGTTGGTTCTCATCTTGCAACACAGGAAAGATCCCTCAGAAACAAACACAGGCTGTGACTTGTAGCAAAGAGTAGGATTTCAGCTGTGAACAGATGAGGTTTGGGAAGGAGGGGAAGAAAGTCAAGGTTTGAGAAATTATAGAAAGGTCAGTCAGATGCTTACCTTACACATGCAGTTCTTTTAAAACAAACCAATGCCACATTGCACTCTTAAATATATAAACAACAGTTTTTCCTCTGTATTTATAGTCTCAAATCCAAAGTTCCCAAGCAGTTGCAGAGTCAGATGTACAGGGAAGGGTGTGACACCAAGGCCCAACTCAGTGTTAGAAAAAAGAACTACTTCTCTTTGGCTCTCTTTGTGTTTATCTGGATGGTGATCAGATTAAATGGCAGAAGACAGCAAAAGGACACTCCAGGCAAATCCTGTTTCATAGATTCTTGGCCTGTGTTAGACACTGCTCCTCAGGAAAGCATTCTTTAGAGAATCAGTGCTCCCTCTCATAACCAAACTTTGAGGCATTGTACAATGCCTCATGAAACTTTTGCAGAAGATACAGGTTCCTACAAATGTGAACAATTAGAAATTATCAAAGTAATAAATGCAATGCTCATAATCAAGAGCATAGCAAAGGGAAAATACTGCAGTAATGATCTGTATTTTTTTCCCACAAGGTGAGGTAGTCTTTGATTTAAAAATACTGTGATGTGCAGCTGCATATAGAAACTCCATTCCCACTCCAGCACTTTTCTTAGATAAGCTTTACCAAGAGGACAACAGATTACAAATATTCAAGCACATATTTAGAAGGCAATGTGATGTCCTGAAAAGATAGCCAGCTTTGTAACTTTTTCATCCCTTGTAAAGAATGTACATAATTGTGGTAGGATTGCTGAGAGTTGTGAGTTAAATGGAGCTATAAAAAAAGCTAATACGAGTTGTGCTCTCACAACTTGAATCAAGTAGAGCAGAGTGCACAATGTGGTTAATTGCATTTATTCTTCTTCCCTTTATACTCGCATATAATTTCATTTCATCTTAAGAGCTGTGTTGGAAAAATGTAGAGACTATGCTAGTTTGTATTTTGTTGGCATTTATTTTATGAACTGCATTCTCAGACTACATTTTACTGTTGTCAAGAAACACAAAACCTTAGAGAGAAGCTGTCCAGAATTTTTCCTTATTTTATGCTATTGTGGCACTGTAACAAAAAGTATTGAAATGGACAAACATTGCTTCTCCATTTAAGGTTTTGTACAATTGCTGCACAGTGAATGACACCCAAATAAATTCCTTTCCCTCGCCTTTAATTCTGGCAGATATAACAGATTGAGACATTGCTAGACAACTACTAGACTGAAGTAATTAAACAGTGTAATGTGCAAACAGCATTTTAGAGTCAGCAATTAGAGCACTCAAATTAGATGTTTTATTTGCCCAAACTTGTCTCTAAATCTCGTCAAACAAAAGGCTTCATTTACAAACAATACAGCACCAGACTTTCAAAGCAAAGTGCTAGAGCACTGCAGACCCCTGCCTGTAGTCAGTGCCCCAAGAGATCCATCACACTGATGCATGGGCAAGACTTATAAATACCTCAGAGCAGCCCAGCTCTCTGCATTTACAGTGGGCACTCAAATCATGTGTATGGGCTGTACCTCTGACTGGATGACTACAGAGTTCTGAGGGAGGAAAAGAGAACCTTCAGCAGCACAGGATGATCTGATCAAATGTGTTTATTCATCTTTTGAAACGTGTTTGAATTTTAAATGTCCTGTGTTTCTGAAACATTCCTGTTCATGGCCTTGAAAGCTGAAGTCTTTGAGCCTAGTCAGAAGGAATAGGGAGAAAAAAGCAATGTCCACAATGTGTTTTCTTAATTTTGTGGATATTGTTGCAATATATTTGAGAGAACAGCATCACAATAAAAATAACATTCCGCTGCATGCTCATCTTCAGACCTCCTGCAGTGTACTAAAAAGAGGAAAACTGATATCCCCATGAGTCCTCTCTGTAGTCCATGTCCCCTTATTATCTAAAAAATGGTGTAAGTCAATCCACTGTGTAACACACAAACCTTAAAAAAAACTGCCACATGAGAGACTATAGCATCCATTATTTAACACTATGATTAAATTGTCTGTACAGCAGCACAGGACACATGTCTTTTATATTCCAACTGTCTTCAAAGACCAATGACCTTTATTTCTCTTTCTCTCTCCTCAGGTTAAAACTTAAGGGATATATTTTTTGTCATTATGCTCTCTGTGGAGGATAGGCCACTTTCCAGAGAAAGACAAAACAATTATCTGAGAGATCACAGAAAAAATTTTAATCCACTCTTTGCAATAGGAACAATGCACACCCTGTATTTTAGATTTTAAAATCTCTCCCCTAATTAAATAGTATTAAAAACATGATTTTATATTTACATGATTGTATATTTACAATATACAATAATATATTGTAAATAGTTTATCCTAATGCTGACATTAACTATGCTGTCTATGTAAAGCAAAAACTGAAACTATGTATTGGTTTAAACACAAGTATCCAGCCAAACAAAAGAGCACAATCCAGAGACAGAATATTGCAGTCCACCACAAAACAATAGAAAAAAGTAAATTCTGTGTTGGCCATAAAATTTTTTTATGAAACATTGTCAGAGCATTATTAAGTCAGTTATAATATGCTGCTATTTACAATTTAACTCTATTCTCTCTTGAAGCCCCCAACCTGAAAATGTTCCAACTCTCCATAATTTAGATAGCTGATAAAGGCACTTCCTGGGTACATAAATCATGTCCATTCTCAGCTAGATGTGGATTTAAAATACAAAAGTCCCATCCAAATCACTAGCAGTTTTTCCACTGATTTTAGTAGGTTTGGAACTAGATGTTAAAATACTTCTCTTTAAATTTAAATCTATGCTTAATTACACAAGATTCTAAGAACTTCAGGAAAAAAAACAGCAAGAATAAATATTGGGACCATTTATAAATAAGAGTGTTAGAATTGTCTGTAGAAAGAAGTCTGTCTTTATTCCTTCTTTCCTGGGACAGGTAATAGCACTTGCCAAAGCAAAACTTCAAAGAACATCCTGTAGCACAGCGGCAGGGTTTCTTTGTGAGAATACTAAATCTAGGAACACCATTCCTAAACCATTACACACACATAGACTAATAAGTCCAAGGTCTGTAACATCCTTGCCTATAACTAGCATAGTCTCAGGTTATTGTGACAGTACACTTTATTCAGTGTTCCTATCAAATGACACATATCTCCCACAGGCTGGAATAAAATAGGAGATACGTTCTCTTTTCTCAAGGAAAAAAAACCCACTCACTGAAATCATCAGAGAATTCACAAAAGATGAACAGAATGGAGAAGCTAAACTTAAGGCAATGGCAGCAAAAACAAAGGAGAAATCAAGGACTCATACGGGTCCCAGGAGTGGCCTGGAGTCCCTGTGGAACCCCTGAGGTGCTCATTGGTAAAGGAGCTGCTGCTCTTTCTGTGGCACAGCTTTGCCAGTTACTCTGGTATCACTACAGGACACGTAAAAGCACGACATGAGCTGTTGCTATTGTAAAGGTGAAAAACAGGAAGTTTATTATCTGACTCCGGCATTTATACTTTTCCAAAGGTGACAGTGGATTGGAGGGTGAATGTG